GGTTATGTTTATACTGCCTTTCTCTCTTTATGTACTTGTTAGTAATCTAGATATTCTTGACCTGGGTTCTGGCCGATAATTTTTCTTGTTTTATATATTCACATATTCCTTTCCCTGTCAGGGAGATATGTGTAGATTTGTGTTAATAGTACTGCCTAACACCTTTTTAAAATTTGCTAATGTTTTATGTGATATATTTCATCTTTAGAATTTTGGGTGGGTCTAGACTTAGAAAAAGTGTTTTGGTTGGAATGATGAAGCTCTGGATCTCAGCAGGCTTTAGTGTTGGAAAAGTTGAAGCTTACAGAGAGAGCAAATAAACATGGTCATCAAAGCTGGGAATTAAGATCTGTTTATTCACCTGCACACTTGAATTAAATCTCCTAGCATTAGGCAGAACCACTTAACTTATTAAGAACCTGACCAAATAAATTAGTCTTGTTTAAAAGTCTATTTTTGCCTGGCTCTAGATATGGAGGTTGTTGTAGTCACTATATAATGGACGAAGAAGTTCTTGTTGAATTAAGTTACTAACTTACAAGATAGAGACCACTAGGATAGTTTACACTGGATGGTAGTTCATTCAACTGAAAAGTCTATTTGAGGTTTGGGACATGAAGCTTCAAACAAAAACAAAACAAAACAAAACAAAAAAAAACCCCACCAAAACATGTGCTTTTGGCCTTCAGCGTTGAGGAGCACTATTAATGGCTAGAGAAAATTGGATGGATGGGAAGAGCACTTAGGTTGGATATAGCTGACCTCACTTTTGCTTTAAGAGAAGTCCTCATTTGTAGGGCTATAAAGATAGCAGATATGGACTGAGATAAGTATTCCCTGATTCATTTTCATTAAGTCAGTCAAGGTTCAAGTAAATAAAGCCTTGCTTTTAATGATTTTAAGAATACCTTTAAAAAATGTGGAGCACAATTTGTTGACTCTAAAATCTTCATGGTCAAGATGAAAGTTGAGTTCAGATACATAAAGCCAAACAAAAAGCCTTTAATTTATATTGGTTCTCTTGGTTCTGCAATTCTCTTTTCTCCATATTTGTTAGTATAAAGTGTGATTTATGGTGATAAAGAACTCTTGGTTTAGCTTTTGAACTAAAAAAGTAAGTATAGCTTCAGCACTTGTTTGTGATGACAGAGCCTTTTTAAACCATTCTATGTATGTCAATCTTTGAAATTTTGTCTTAAGCTAGTTGGGGATTTGGATAACCTTGATATAGTTCTTCTTTAAATCTATTGTTAAATTGAAGAGCAGAAGGCAGCCACCGAACTACTCCCAAACATGTCAGAGGGGGCTCTGCAGTGTGGGGTTCCCTTTAATGCATCTCCAGCCAGCAAGCTCTGGCCTTGCCTTAGTCTCCTGGTTGCTCCTATTTAAGCTTTCCCTCTCACAAGAGTCATCAATTGCTTCTCCAAATATCATGCCATAGGGTCTTTGTGCTTAAGGTGGAGTATGTTCTTAGACAACCCTGAAAATAAAAATGAGTTGGGTTCTCCCTAGTCAGCTCCCCCATCAAAGCCATGTTATCCACCAAGCAGCTGCTGAATACTCCAGTTCTGTTCCTCTCACCAAGATTTCTGCACCCTATCCACTCTCTAATTTTTATCCGTTTCTTACACAGAGAGACTAAGTCATACCTCAGTGTTTGAAACTCCTTAAACCCTGCTCAGGACACCAATAACCATATCAGTAGAATCTCTTCAGAAGGCAGCTGTAGAAATTATAAATAGTATAGGCTTATTTTCATTCAGCTATGTGAAAATGCTTTATAAATCAGTATTATCAGAGTAAAGTGTAACTGAAATCCTATGATGAGTGTAAAAGCAGGAGAATCAACCCAACAACAGTCTGTAGGGTAAAATACAGGTGGATATAGGGTTGGGACACCATAACTGTCTTAGAAATAATAAGAGCCTGAGTTATGAGAGAATTAGTGGAAATAAGAATGGTGAAAATTGGCATGAAATATATAGGAAGAGACATTATCATAGAAGCCAGGGAGGAATAAAACTTTCTGAAATGACTCAGGCTACAGGAGTTGTGAGGATCAGAAATGGAGAATGAAGTCTTGGAATAAGGTTTAGAAAACTGGTTGTGGTCTTCAAAAAACTAGTGTTGGGGATAACTTAATGGGTGGTTGTGGGGGAATAGAGGGAGCAGAGAGAACTTGTGCTTCCAGAAAAATACAAAGGTCATGTTAGTTTTATTCAGTGCTATGAGAAGATCCTCACAACTTGACTGAAACTGAGCAAGTTATGATACATGTAAATCATGGTCAGTTATGAAAAATAAATATTATGTAACATATACAAAAATGTACATATGTCTAGAAAGCATTCTTCTAAAATATAATGAGGACTTGTATCTGAGGAAGTAATTTTTTATCCCTATCAATTCTTTTTTCCTCCACAGTTACAGATTTTGGAAAATATGGTATTAAGTAAGAAACTATTTGGAAAGCATCAATATGTTTGTAAGCAAGAGAATGTCCATAAAATAGACTCCATATTGCAGATAAAAGCAGTTGAACAGTTGATAGAACAAAGTCTTGAGATAGATAGAAAGAAGGAGATATTAATGGTCAATTCAAAGAGCAATTTTGGCCTTAATTCCTGGTTCTGATTGCCTTGGTTCTTCTTTGTTTGGCCTTTCAGAAGAAGAACAAAGCTCCTGTTTTGCGATCTTCCTGGAAGAGAAGCTGTAAGATCAAATGAGGGCTGCGGGAGCCCAGGAGAAGCAGGGAGAGCATCTTATGGAACTAAAACCTATATAGATCTGCTACAAGTAGCTGTAAATATATCAGATGTTGAATCATTATAAGTAAAGGAAAGGTGTGGTATACAGCTCACTTTGTTGTATAGCTGCTAGTCTGAATACTTAGGGGTTGATACTAATTTTATATGCAATAAAAATTATTTAGGGCAAAGAGGATGTGACCTCAAAGCTAAAAGTCTCAATAATTGCTGAGTTTTCTAATCCTTCTTTCTTTCTACTGTGGGTTAACTGGATAAAATGAAGTCAGTGTGACCTCATATATCTTGTTATATTAGGACTTTGCTTGGCATAGTGATAAGTAAAAGTTCCATGAGTTTTTCATATTTTAGAAATTATATTGGGATATCAGATTTTATCATATCTAAGTTTTATACTAGGGCTAGAAACAGTATTTTGTTTCTTTAAAATTACTCTTTTTATCATTAGATGTCATAAAGTTCGTAAGGTTCATACATCAATTTTCCAGATGCTATTTCAACATTTACTTAGTATTATCCCACCTCGTCCATCCAAAAGGATATTTCTGTTTAAAAATAAGCATAAATGTAAGTATTATTATATAGGTGAGAATCCAATATAATTTATAGAATCTTCAAGAGAGGGGTAATTATAAGTAAAAATTACATTATCCTGAAGTTAGTGTATGACCTTTGTGCCTATTTTTTTCTTCTTTAAAACCTTCAGATACAATTTACTTACAAATTAAGCACATTAGTTATAAGAATGCACAGCTGGATAGGTTTTATGAACATACATGTTGAGTAACCAATTTCCAGTCAAGTTTAGAACGTTTCCATCACTTCCTTTAGTGGGTTAAATAGTGTCCGTACCCTTAGTCCCTACCTCATACATGCCCACCTGGAGCCTCATAATGTGATCCTATTTGAAAATCGGGGCTTTGCAAATACATTTAAGTGTGGATATGAGATCATACTAGATTAAAGTGGGCCCTAAATCCAATGACCGTGTCTTTGTTAGAGACAGAAAGGACACACAGAGATACGTAGAGAAGAAGGCCATGTGCAGATGGAGTCAGATTGGAGATCTGCCACCAGCCTAGGAAAATCTGGGGCCCCCAGAAAAGGAGACCAGGATTCTTCCCTAAGGCCTTCAGAGGAAGCATGGCTCTATGGATACCTTGATTTTAGACTTTTAGCCTACAAAACTGAGGGAATGAATTCCTGGTGCTGAAGCCACCACATTGTGGAATTTGTTAAGGCAGGCTTAGGAAACAAATATACCTGCCAAAAATTCCAGTGTACCCCTTTCCAGTCAGTCTCAAACTCTCGAAGGCATTTAATGTTCTAATTTCTGTCACTGTAGATTAGCTTCATGTGTTCTTGACGTCAATACAAATAGAGTTATGTAGAGTATACTTTTTTTTTTTTTAATCTGGCTTCCTTTGTTCAACATAATTTATGAAGTTTCATTCCTGTTCATGTGTCAGTAGTTTCTTTTTACCATTAAAATACACCACAATTTATCCATTCTCCTAGTCACAGACATGTGGATTGTTACCTCCTACTCCTATTTTATACCTTTAGGACCTCTGTAGTTAGGTGTGAAATCTGTCTTTCTGAGACTGCTGACTCTTCCCCATAGAGGTTTGCTTGTACGTATGACTGGTTCATTTTGATGTGAAGGTTGTTCTCCGTGCAAGTTCCTGGTCTCAGGATTGTAGAAAACTTCTATAAGGTAGTTTGATATTTGTTTCTTGGTAGGTTTTCCTGGATTGATGGTTTTATGTTAGCCTCTTGATTTAGTAATTTGATACTAGACTGATGAACCTGTATCCCATACTTGGATATATTGCAGATTTGAGGGTTCTTGTTTCTCATGGGTTATATTTTCTCTCTACTGTGCTCACTCACTTGTTTCATGTGCAAACAACCATTTCAACTCCAGTCTACATAAGGAGACCCAAGTCTTCTATTTCTTGGCCTGGATTCAAGACCCTGACATGAGGTCTGCCTCTGTCGGTCTAACATCTTCATGGGCCATGATAGACCTTCAGCTCTGCCTCTGAGTTTCCTCTTTGTTTCTAAGTTTGGTTGCATATCAACCTTCCTTTTACAGGTTGAGGGTGGCTATTTTGTTTCACATTTCTATGTGATGAGTGTAGGACCAGAGACCCTGTCTCCTCAGCATGTTGCATGGACCTGAGATCTGATCATACTCATATTTGAACATGTGTTTTGTGTTTTCTTTTACAGCTAGTTATGTGTCAAATCCCATATGCAAGGGTTGTTTGTCTTGTTCAAAGGACAATGGGTGCAGCCGATGTCAACAGAAGTTGTTCTTCTTTCTGCGAAGAGAAGGCATGCGCCAGTATGGAGAGTGCCTGCATTCCTGTCCATCCGGCTACTATGGACACCGAGCCCCAGATATGAACAGATGTGCAAGTGAGCAGTTGCCTTTTGTCTACTATTTACTGTTGATGCAACTTCGGAGGGACCTAAGTTGAAAAATTTGACTAAAAACAAGTGTATTTTTAATATGCTACAGAAATAGTCTGAGCTTAAAGTTGAGTGGGGTAGGATAAGAACATTTTTATCTTTTGTCTAGAAGTACATTGCATACACACTTTTTATTTTTAGATTATTTAAGTATTTTTTGCATAACAAGCATCTCCAATACAAGCTTGTTAAGCAGATCTGTATGAGGCATGCTTAGCACAACAACAAAATCCCCAAGGAATTTAAATGTCCTTGTACTGGGAACATTGTCTCCACTTTACTACAGTGTCTATGGCTTCTTTTGCCTTTTAAAAAAAATCTGAGTTTGTAATCCCTTGTTTAGTCTAATCTATAATTTAATTCCTTTAGGGTTCTGTAAAGCACCATTTCTGATAAAAGATGTAACTAAAATATTTAGTTAATCTTAGGATATTCTGAGTTCCAAGTTTAACAGCAAGAAAAAGTATTAAGGAATGGCATTCTGTACATAGTTATGCAAGAATGATTTTTATCGGTTAATCCAAAAATCACTTATAAAATGATTCTCAACTTCTAAGTGAAGAGTAGAAATTGGAATTAAAAAAAAAATGAATGACCTGATAAAGGAACATCTCTGTCATTAAGGAGCTTAAATGTTAGGTCATAGAGAGGATAAGGAAAAAAACATGGAACGAAATGACACAATGACAAATGGGTGAAAATTTAATCTTAATTCAGTACACTAAGCTATATCAGGCAAGCAGTGTGTTACGGGAATAATTTAATTATCTCCCATTAATGTATACACGGCTATTAAATCAGCCAAGGTCTTTAGATAAAAGGAGAGTTTGAATTTGAATCATCCAAGGACAATATTATTTCGGAAGAAGGTAGAAGTAATGGTGGGAGGCAAAATAGAGTCTAGAAAGAAGGAACCACACGTGTAAAAATAATGTGCTTGGAGAATAGTAAGTGCCATCTGGGATGTAGCTGGTATTTTGGCAAAGCCATGTAATTGACATTGCTGAATGTTTAGTATCCTCAGTCCCTGCCCATGAAATGTTCTTTGTGCCTGCAAGTCACTGTGACAAGTAAAAATGTACCTAAGACCTTTTGAACACCTCCTAGAGGATCAGCACTATCACTGGATGAGAACCATTGAGTCGTATGAGCTTAGTAGGAGGTGCAATTGGAACTGAGAATGGAAAGGGAGGGAGGTTGGAGTGCAACTGATCAAGGGCTTGAATGCCATGCCGAGGAGTCTGGATACTACCTGAAGGTTTCAAGCAGGAGAGGATTGAAGAGGTTGCTTTGTTCAGGATAATTTTAGCAGCAGTGGGGGCAACGAATTGGAGAAGGACAGAAAGTAGAGGAAGGCTACTCTAACAATTGCAGATGAAAAATCGTGTTCTGACAAAAGGTGTGTGGGAAATGAATTCCAGAGCTTTTAAAAAATAGAATCAAGGAGACATAGTAACTAATTTCAGAGTGAAAAGAGAGAATCAGATTTGGTCCTAGGGTTTCTATGTGAATAGTTTTCCATTAGCAGAGAGAGAAATACATAGGCCCAGTGAAAATTTGTATCTGCTTCTATTTCATGGAATTGTTTGGATTAGTAATTATAGAGACAGAATTCACAATCTGTATTAACAGACTGGCTAGTTTTTGCAAATACGTACCTTGTCCTTAATTTTTTTGATTTGGGGACCATCTAGTGATTTGTCTGCCGTAGTTATTTTTAACTTTCATGAAAGGATGAGTCTACCATGAAATGGAGTCCTGTTCAGATTGCATTAGACCACCTGGTAGGAGGGGGCAGGATTTGCATCCCTGAATAGCTGGTGCATTTTTTATTCCGTACTATCAGTGCACAAGGAAGATGAGGTAAGAGTGTAGATGGCTCCAGGCAATTATTCCGAGTTCTAGGCCTAGCACTGTGCAGTCTGTGTGTGTACAGTACACTGACCGTGTAATGTGTTCCTCAACCCTAGGACATTGGTGAGTCAGAGGGGCTGCTGTTAACAACTATGCAGGGACACGGGTATGGATAGCCACCTCAGCAATACTTTATAACGTATTGACAGATATATCTTCCTTCCTTCTTTGCCTTCCAGGCAAGGGTTAACAAGCACACTTTGGCTAAGTTTATCCCTTTTCTCAGGAGAGCAGTGATTGTAAATCAGCCTTAGAAAGAGAATTAACATGTGAGAATCGGTCTGCTGTGGTTTTACTTATTCTAAGTGAATGGAATTCATGTTGCAGTTAACTGACCCAGAGCAAATCATTACTTCTCTGGTACAAGTGGGAAGGGCTTATGAACAAGATTCCTGTGAATCAAAGTGAAAGTGGAATTTTTTTTTTTTAGCATATGACTTTGGGTTGCTATGGTTCTTTCATACTAACTATTTGATTTTCCCCCCATACTCTGTATACATCCCATTGTTGTTTGTATCGTATTCAGAGGATGAGACACAGTTAAATTGGAAAAGCTGTTACAGACTTAGAATTTGAAACCACACCCAATTTTTATTTTCTTAAGAGATTATTGCTCTGCAGTAGAGAAGAATTATACTTCAAGCAACAATAGCTTTAAAAACAATTTTAATGTTTATTTGCTTTAGAGACAGAGAAGGGGGTGAAGAGAGGGGAAGAGAGCGAGCGAGAGTGAGCGCAAGCAGAGGAGGAGGCAGAGAGAGAGGGAGACACAGGATCTGAAGCAGGATCCAGGCTCTGAGCTGTCAGCACAGAGCCCATGTGGGGCTCAAACCCACAAACCACAAGGTCATGCTCTGAGCCAAAGTTGGATTTTGACTGAGCCACCCAGACACCCCAACAGTAGCTTTAAAAAAAAATTTTTTTTTTCTTTAGAGAGCAAGAGAATGAGCAGGGGAGAAGGGCAGAGGAGAAGAGAGAGAGAGAATTCCAAGCAGGCTCCATGCTTAGCACTGAGCCAGATATGGGGCTCAATTTCATGGCCCTGACAAGATCATGACCTGAGCCAAAATCAAGAGTCGGACACTCAACTGACTGAGCCACCCAAGTTCCCCAAGCAACAGTAGCTTTATAAAAATTCCTAGCAATTAAACTTGTTTGTCTGTTTTCTAATCCCTAAAATCTAATCACTAGATTTTAATTTCAAAGCAGTATCTTTCTTCAGAAGGAAGACTTGCTCTTTGAAATGTTGGCTAGGGTTGGCCTCTTGGTATCTGCATTATGGAGATTATAAAGTCAGACATGCTTTTAAAAACCAATTCAGTAACCATTTGAAGCATACAATGAAAAATATATACACTCAAGGACACTAAAAGCTCCTATTGGCTCTGATGGTGTTAGGTGATATTTCTCTTATTTTTTTCTCATTTATTGAAAAACTTATTTACAGGAAAAAGCTTTCTTCCTTAGATGGTTATAAATATTCTTTGTAGAAAGCTCAGAAAGCACATAGGCCTAAAAAACAACCTGGCAAAAGTAAAAATTAAAAAAAAAAAAAAAACACCCAAAGATAACAAAAGTTAACATTTTGGCTTCTACCCTCAACTTTTTGATTCTATGCATATTTGTCTTTGTCCCTTTACAAATGTATCCGTTTTCTGTTTTGTAACTTGTTTTCATGGATTATGAACATTTTGATAATGTCATTAAATATGGCTGCATATATCCTGAGTGGATATATCCTAATATATTTAATTACCCACTAAGAATTTGCTTTTAGTTTTTCACTAATATAAGCAGTCATATGAAGAGCATTCTCATATAGTCGCTCATATACAGACTTTAGTTTTATACACTTGTCTGATTTTTATAAGACAGACTTTTAAACATAAAAATATGTTTCCAGCTTTATTGAGATAAGATTAACATGTAACAATATTACATAAAGACTTTTGATATATGTTGTCCAATGGCCTTCTAGAAAAGTTGCACCAGTTCACATCTTAACTAATAGCAGACATTTTTCCTTGCATCTAACAATGAGTGCCATTGACAAAAAGTACAAAACATATATTCTTTTGGTTTAATATGCCTTTCCTTGATAAGGTAAATTTCATTTGTTTTTCACTTGAATATTGGCATTATATGGCATTTACCAGAGTCTCTGGCTTTTTCTCTTCTATTTGCACAACTGTCTTGTTCTTAGTGATTAAAAAAAAAATAAACAACTTTAAATGAACTATCACGAGAATTTTATATTCAAGATTATAAATGGAGAGTTCAGTGAATAATCACAAAATGGGCAGCATATGCAACTGTGATACAAGTCAAGAGGAATGTTAGCACCCCAAGAATGCTTGTGACATCTCTTACCAATCACTCCCCTCTCTTCTCGCACAACAAAACTACCATCTTGGGTTGTAACCAAAATACATATAAAAGATTATTCATGATCTTTTATAAAGACCTATAAATTGGAAACAACCCAAATGTCCAAACAACAGAACATTGGGAAAACGTATAGCATATTAAAAAAGGAAATAAATAAAAGTAGAAATGAATGAACTACCTCAACATGCAGCAACATAGATAAATCTCACAATGTAATGTTCAATGAAAGGAGTCATAAAACAGTAATAAAAACATTTACATACATTGTGGAAATAGTTAAAACTAACTTGTGCTACTAGAAGTCAGGATTGTGGTTCTTTTATGCATTTATAGAACACTTCCTACATGCTGGATTTTGTACCAGTTCCCTATAGATACAGTGATGAGTCATCATTAGTTTCTGCCCTTGAGTTGCTTATGGTATAGTGTAGTGGGTCTCTACTATGGGTAATTTCTCCCCTTAGGGAATATGTGATGGTGATTGCAGATATTTTTGGTTATTACAGTTGAAGGGGTGCTAGTGGATAGATATAGATATTGCACAACATTATACAATGCACAGCCCCTTGCAACAAAGAACTGTGTGGCCCAAAATGTCAGTAGCTTTGAGGCTGAGAAAGCCTTTTCTGGTGGGGCAGACAGAC